ATGCAGGTACTAGGCAAGAATACGATACCTAAGTCCAAAAGGATCACTAAGAAACTAAAACCGGGTTTAAATTATAGATAAGTTTTAGATGATGGCATTCTCCAGCATTGCCTGGAGAAGTATATAGAATCAATGTGTCAAGTCAGCATTCCCTGGAACAAATGTGTATTAGATGGTCTTCCCATATAACATTAATTGTACAGTTGGGCCAAGCATGGCATGAACTTTTCTTAAGTCGTTTTGCTAAATTTTCTTTATGCCTCTTTTTATCCTTTTTTAGACTTTCCTGAATATTGTTTGGCTTGTCTTTTTTTTTTTTTTTATTTTCCCAAATAAAAATAATAATAACCTACATTGCTGAGTTCTAAAATTTGCCCTAACCATGCACTAAAGTTGGCTAGTCTCTTCAGCTAGTTCTTCTTAACCTGGAAATTACTTATTATAATAAAGAAGATGACTCAATCCCTTTAAAAAGCCTTAAAAATGTCATCTCTATTTCTAGGCTTCAATCACACACTTCTAGCTGATTATGGGAATGTGCTAACACGATTTGAAATTCTAGCATTTTCATCAAAATTATCAGTAGGTCTCATTCTTGGTCACTCAAAAAACTTAAAAAACCTAAGGGAAATGAACATTTCAATAAATCTAATACATTGGAGCATTTGGAGCTTTATTATGTCCTTTATTATGGAAATAATAAAGCTTTATTATGGAAAGTGAGGAACAGCAATTTTCTAGTATGAATGGTCTTACTGGATGGGGTAAAAAAGCAAGTGACAGAAGGAATCTTAATATGGGGCTCCTGGGTGGCTTAGTCAGTTAAGCATCTGTGCAGAGCCTGCTTAGGATTCTCTCTTTCCCTCTGTCTCTGCCCTCCCCATATTGTTTTCTCTCCTTCCTCTCTCCCTCAAAATAAATAAAAACACATTTAAAAAAAAAGAGCTCTTATGATCCAGGCTTGTTCTGTTTTCATGCTAGAGTCTCTTTCTCAAAAAAAAAAAAAAAAAAAAAAAAA